ACCTAATAGGACCTGAAGTTGACACCAAGCCTGCAAGTAAGGCGGCGTATTAAGCCATGTGACAGGATCCAACATTCAAAATGGCGTGTTGAGTGGGAAAGTCCCACATCAAGTATAAAAGTAAGAAGGTTGTGAGTTAAATACAAGGAAGGCTACTCCACATATTGCCAATTGATTTTAGGTTGGATGCAAGCCTTGTGTTGAGCCCACATGCAGAATTTTCACAACTTAGGCCTCAAGCAGATCCGCTAGTATGAAGAAAGGATGAAACAATAGATGGTGCTTTCAAAGGGAAAAGGAGTTGAACAAACCAAAGGCCATGACCATCAAGGAAGTTCTCGGCATGTTAATGGAGAATTTAAACAAGGATGATCCAAGGCTGGTGGTTCCACTGGCCAACGGCAATCCTTCACAGTTTGAATGTTTTAGGACTACCATTGCAACCAAAGCTGCTATCATTGAAACCCTGTGATCCGCTAAGTGTAACTCTCAACACGGTTGGCATTGCTTCGACTAGAAGGCTAGTTTGAACCAAACCCCAAAATAAGTCCTTAAACTTGTACTTGTCGTTAATTAAGTCATTTAATATTGTTTGCAAAATAGTTAAGTAGGTCTAAATTTCATGGATATTTCACGTTATGTTTTGTAGTTTGTGATTGAGGGGTCTAGCCTTTGAAGCTGTCATGAAGGTGTGCCATAACAGTTTATGTTTAAAGGGCAGGAGGGGCATCCAGGGTGAAGTACTCTATTTTTGTATTTATTGGGTAATCCTTTGTCTAGTTTCTCTCAATACTCAACTACATTTAAGGATGGCAACGGTTTTCCACAGGACAAGGACCTCCTCCCATCCCCATCCCTATCAATAATGGGTACGAGAATCTTTATAGGAATTTGTGGTAGGAGGTAGAAAATGTTCTTTGTCCCCATAACTGTGGGGAATTATAAGTCTTTGCAAATATTTGAATTTCCCATCAAATATTTATTAAACATGTAGAATTTATCCTTATTTTTGTTATAAATGAAAAAAAGGTAAAAGTTTGAAACAACTTAAACAAGCAAATACATTATACTTAAAATCCAACAATGTCTAGTTCCAACAAATACATATTACTACATGGATGGCAATTGATTTATTAAATTGGGTTTGGCAAAGATTGGAAAAGGAATTGGGCTAGGCAATTTAGGTTGGGTTGAGTTGGTCAATTAGGTTGGGTAATTAAAAATTAATTAGTAACATATTTATAAATATATAAAAATAAATTTATATTTTTTATTATATACAGATTCTCATGGGTCGCTGTGCAACAAAAAAAAATTCTTAGCAAAATTTTGTGAGAAATAAAATACCTCCACCCCTGGCCCATAGGAAATAATATTTTTTGAATCTTCATCCCCACAATAGGAATTCTCATAGGGCTCCGTGGGTTTTGGAGGAAATTGTCATCTCTAGCTATATTGTACCTAAGTAGGCAAATCAATCATACTTAAGTAGGCAAATCAATCGTAGCATATGAGTATTAGGTGGTTAGATAGCCCTTTATAAGAATATATGTGTATGTGAGAGTGAGATTCACTTACATATAAGTTTTACATATCATATTTATATAAAATTTTAATCATTTTTAATTGTTAAAATTTATTATTATTTTTTAGATAAAGAATAATTATTTTTAATAAATATAAATAAATCTCAACTATTAATAATAGAGAAATAAATTGTTAAGATTTTATATAAATATAATGTATAAAACTTATATATAAATAGGTTACTACTATATATTGAGGTAGAGATTTCATCTATTCTTTACCCTTTTCTACGTGATTAAATGAAACATTTTCCTTTGCTAAAAAGAAATAGAGTCTCAATTTCGGCCACGTTTGGTAACATTGTTGTTTTTATTTTTTTATTTTTTTATTTCTAACAACTAATATATATCCCTATATATAGAGAAAATATTTGTCAGTTAAGTTTTTAAAAAATTAAGAGTAAAAATATTTTTAAATTATGATATTTTAATAAGTTTTTATTAAAAAAATTAAAAAAAATTATTTTTTAAATAAAAA